TAGGGCTGGTTTCTCCAACTCAACTTAACTTAGTTAAGCCATTTTTTGGGCTTATTCATTTTCACCATCTAGGCTAACCTAAGCCGAAAGTTAGCCTACCCTTTAGTTGGCTTATTCTTGACATACGACAGTGTTGCTGTAGTGCACAATGTAAATGGAAGAAATAGTACTTATTTCGTTTGTACAGCTATAGCAACCCCGCTATAATAATCTTGGCGTCTTTATTTGAAGTGGTTTATATTTCTGTGTTAAATGTAAATTTTTGTAAATAATAATGGATTTTGTAGATTCAGATGAAAGTGATTTCGATTTTGATGTTCTACAAGTAATCCTTCTTCGACGAAAAAGAAAAATAAAAGAACGTCCTGATTTTTTTCATTATTACGATGATGTTGATTTTCGTGATCGATTTCGTATGTGCAAAGATGCTGCTTGGTTTATTTTTTCTTTAATAAAAGAAAAAATTTATATTGTAACACGGTAAGATCATATCATTTGACGAATGTAAATGTTTTTTTCCTAAATTACTTTTCCATTGGCAGCAACAACGCTATGCAACCACATCAAATGTTTTTCATTACACTCAGGTTCTATGCATCAGGATCTTTTCAGCAAACTGTGGCAGATCTTTGCGGCGTTTCAAAAACAAGTGCATCACGGGCTATTAAACTTGTATCTCATCATATTGCTTCTTTACGGGCAGATTTTGTTAAACTCCCTGAGACGGAACAGGAGCGTTTGAGCACACAGGCTGCTTTTAAAGAAATTTCAAATTTTCCGCGTGTAATTGGCGCAATGGATTGCACCCATGTTAAAATCATGTCGCCAGGTGATTATGTAAGATTACTAGTTAAAAAAACAATAGTAATAGCACCATTTCTATACAGGAGGTGATGATGGTGAAGTCTTTCGTAACAGAAAGGGTTTTTTCTCGTTCAATGTGCAAACCATATGTGATAGCAATTTAAAAATATTAGACATTGTTGCCCGATGGCCAGGATCGGTTCATGACTCAAGGATTTTCCGTAATTCGCGTATTTGCTACCGATTGGAGGCGAAGGAATTTCTAAATGCAGTCATTGTTGCTGACAGTGGTATTGAAAAAACGAACGTCGTGTTGACGCCGCTTTTAAATTGTAGAAATAGAGCAGAAAATCTGTATAATGAGTCGCACATCAGAACCCGAAATTGTATTGAGCGCTCATACGGTGTCTGGAAGCGCAGATTTCCCGTGCTATCCATGGGGATTCGAATGAAGGTCACGACAGTTCCTTACATTATTGTTG